GTGGATATCACACACACATGGGGTTGTATTGAGTCTCTAAGTGAGTGGATCATGGGCATCCCTTTGTGACTCCTGGTTGTAGTTGCGACTCCGAGGCCAGTCATGGATGGTCTGGGTACGTCTGGGTCCCCGGAGCTGTCGGACTGGGGACATGGACCCCCGGCTCAAGGGAGTCAATTCCAATGTAGCTAAAACACATGTTTAAGCTATACATAAAACCAAATCACATATATATATATATAGCATGTATATACCAACAACATATAGCATTCCATGTATTATGTTGCATACACAGCTAGTGCCTGGGATGTTGTTTTGCACTTTATCATGCATATGCATATGTGTATACTGTATCCAAAGTTTACCAACTGCGCTGTGTCTTTCTTGGGGGTCAAAACGGTCAAGTAAGTGATTACATGCTAATATGGTGTTGACAGCAACTTCTAAACGGTCCAAGTATCCCAGCAAATCTGCTTGGAGGGCATCGACAGAAATAACCTGGGTGTGCGTTCTTCATGAAACCCAACGCCTGAAAGAAGAGTCGTTCATGAACACAGTTGGAAGAACGGTTTCGTTGATACTCAAAGCTCATGAACTGACTACCTCTTCCCTTCATGACATTGGGCTAACGCGGAAAGCTGCTGTGAAAGAGAAATCCCAAGACATCCCAAAGCCCCTTCTCAAAACCACTACTTAAAAAAGCACTACAAGAGCTAGCCACGAGAAGGCCTGCTCCCATCGGTTCGACTTCTCACATGCACTGATGGCAGCATTGTAGCTCACCAAGTTCAACCATAGCCGAAGCCTTTGTGCAAATACTAAAAGGCCGAAGGCCTGTTGCCAGCGCTTGGCCTTCTCACACGAGCTAATTCCGGCATTGACGCTGATGACATCTGGCTGAAGTGAATCACTTGACATCGTCTCGAAGAGACTCAAGGTCTCTTGCCATCGACGACCTTTCTCGCAGGAACTGATGCTCGCACTGAAGCTGATGATGTCTAAGCGGATTTGAGCACGGCGCATTGCTTGAAACAAACTGAGTGCCATCTGCCATTGGCCGCATTTCTCGCAGGAGCTCAGGGCAGCGTTCCAACTGATGACATCTTGTTGGATCTGGACCTTGGGCATGGTGTGAAACAACACCAACGCCTGCTGCCATTGAAAGCCCTTCGCGCACGAACTGATGGCTCCATTCAACGATGCAACGGTCAAGTCCACGCTGGACAGTGGCATTTCGGCTAACAAGTGGAGAGCCTCTCAGGGTTGGGTTCTGAACCGAGAGAAGACATCAACTGCAAACGAACCAAATCCCTGAGAATTTGATCCAATCAAAGTTCATTGGTCTTAGAATTTGAGGTCCACTCGAGTCCATGGTGATTGTTTTATGTTCTCCTAACGGGACTCCTACGACCCGCCACAAGAAACAACAAAACGTTCTCCCAGCACAGCGGCGCCTGTTGCCATTGACTACTCTTCTCACAGGAGCTCACTGCTGCCGACAAGCTGACAGCATCCTGTTCAACTCTGGCCGCAGGCATGCATGCAAATAAATTCAGGGCGTCTTGCCACAGTTTGGCCCTTGCACATGCAGTGATTCCAACCTCAGCTTTCGATTGAAACCGCCAGGTCATGCTCTCGCTGTCTAGCCCGGGTCAAGCAAAAGAAACAAGAACTTCCCCAGCCCCCACGAACACCAACACACCCAGCGACGGTATACCTGTGCGTCTGCGCGATCCTGGCACCATCCTCCCCTTGCAAAGCATCCAGAACCTGCAGAATGAGCTCGTTACGCCGCTCCCGTGTGAGAGAATCGAAGAGCCGTGGAAGTCCCTCCGATTCCGCTCGTAGCAGAAGCTCCTCGAGCAACGTCATGGCGTTCGAAGCTGAACTGGAAACTTCGACACAGATGCTGCAGCGGCGACCAAGAAAAGGCCAGGGTCGTTGTCAGTAGTGTAGACTCTTGATGAAAACAACTTACGTTACCCATGTGGATTGTAAAAACTCTTCATATTAGGGGGTGATCAATCATTATAAACACTCTATATGATATTCTATATATATATATGTATTCTATTCCTTGGGTATATATCCCATTACCAGGTATATCCGTGGATCATGATGGCTGGGCAGGTTGTGTGATGTTCTTCAGCCACACCCGACGGCACCTGGAAGAGGGACAGACTTGGGACACCTTCCAGTTCCACCCAGAGCGTGGGTCCTGTCTGGTCTTTCTGGGACTTCTGGATCCTTCCACAGCTGGCACATCCTTCCACAGCTGGCACATCCTTCCACAGCTGGCACATCACATCTTGGGCAGAAAACGAAGGACAGCGACGTGACTCACTCCCGCCTCATCGAGCATCCGCTGCAAGAGGACCTGCACAAAAACATGCCCAAAGACGTGCCCCGGGCTGTTCCGAAAGACATGCGCTGATGCAACATCGAACGCATGAGCCACTTCTTATTAGATGTTCTTCTGAGGAAAAGGCAGAAACATGTTCGAAGACTTGTTGGTTCCGTTTTCCTTCATACCCACGGCCCACCATCCCTCAGTGTTTGACTCGTCTTACAATCAGTGCTCTGGATCTTCACTCCTTGCAAGTCTCTGCCCTGGGGAAACAACAAACACGAAAACCAACCAACCAAAACGATCGTCCGTCTTTCAAGGCGTCCGTCTTCCGCTGATGGATTCCACTGGTCTCTTCCTTCCGGCGTACGAGTCGAACTCGTCCCACCCGGATCCGTCTCCGGTCCACGCTCCGGTCTCGGTGCGTGGCGGCGCCTGGGAGCGTTGCGCCTCGCCGATGCGACGCTCCAGCAGCGCCTGGCGCAGGGAGCGCCGGAGAACGTGGACGAGTTGGCGTCGAGTTGAGGACATGGAGTTGACGGTGCATCCATGCGACCCGGATGGATTTTTTTTGGTGGGTTTTGTTGAGGGCATGGGTCCTGAGTCCTGGGTATGTAGTTGAGAAAGTCTGGATACACCACGCAATCCCGATGGCACCCCACTGACACCCCTGATGTGTTAGACAGATGGGGGCCCACTACTAAACCACCGACATTGGGGAGCGTGCCATCTACTCTAAAACCACTGTACAAGGTTTCCAATGTTTTGGCCTGCAATGTGGTTATTTGTCGTGAGTGTAGGCCATATTTGCTCCCTTATAGCATTTGGGAATGGTTGTCCAGGCAGCTTTATTATATAAATGCACCCAATATGATCAACCTATATACAAATTCAGTTTATGCAACCTTGTAAACTAAAGGCCTCCCCGGAACCTTGTGAAAAGCTTGCCCCTGTGTGGCCCCAAGCAAGCTTTGACACGATACCTTCACCGAAAAACTAAAGTTCAAGTTCAAATTCATTGCCGCCGGTTTTTGAACCCGGCTCAAGTGGTGTGGCAATAACAATAATACTATATTATACTAAACAATTACCAAACACGACAGCAATAATTGTAATCCACATATATACATATATATATATACACCAAAAACGACAGCAATAATTGTAATCTACATATATTTAAAACAACAAGTATATCAATTATATATACTGTACTATTCCAGTTTTTTGTTTGAGCACTATATATATATACTACAAATACATGAACCGTCCAAACCTGAACTACAGTGTTATTACAGTCTTTCCGGCGAACCACAATCAACAACACATGAACCACATGCGTCCCCATCAATCGCTGGTTCTCGGCCAGTGGTCGTGGGCAGCCTGATGCGAAACGGTTTCTGAAACGGGTATGGTTTTCAATAGGGAGACCCCCAACCAATCCCCAACCAATGGGTTTGGGCCCAGTTCCATTCTTCCATGAGGTCTTTGGGAGGTCTCTTTATTGAAATTCGCACCCAAATCAAGACTGCCAGCCTTCTGCTCTAGGAGCTCTTGTTCTTTACGCCGTGTGCGCGGAGGGCTCTTAATGCCTGGCGAGTGCAGCGGTCGCTGGCCTCATCTGGACGGAGGGCCAGCTGTTACACCCGAGGGATGGTAAGACCCAAAAAAGGATGAGTAGCCCCAAACACCTGGGCCAGTCTAGATCTCCTGGTGCCAGTTTAACCTCTGTGTGGCAATAACGGGAAGATCTATAAT